TATAAACAGATTTTAATTCATTAAAATGATTAAACCATTCTTGTCAAGATTCATTTTTCATCTAAAAAGTCAGGCGCGTAGCATGGACTTATTTGGCTAGTACGCACATGTTACGGATTGGGGGGTTAACGACCGCGCCAAAGTATACCAAGGCGTCAGTTTTTAAGGTCTATTAAGGGGGGGTATGGGGTCCTCTCTAGGAAATTTTGAAATAAAATCTCTTGGAAATGCGATTTCCAGCGTTTTGAAGTTCTTTTTGATAACAAAGCCTTGGTGCGACGAGCAAGCAAGATAACTATATAAAAAATCCCGAAAATTTGAATATTTCCTTGCGACTAGTACGCACGTACGTATATGCGTAAAGGACGCTACGCGCCCGAAAGTGTTGCGTGGATTTTTGCTGTTATGCTAATCTTTGCCACATTAACATTCTAACAAAAAATGATGCGTGATCGGCTTATCAATGGAAGGGGCCTCGTTTTTTTCGCGTAGTTTTGTGCTTTGTACGGTGGTTTTGAAATCAATTCGAGAATTATTAGTATTAATTACATGACCTTTTAGGTCAAGTTTATTTTAGTCTCAAGAGAGTTTGGRTATTTTGAACTAGACGCTCTTATTAGACCGTGAGTTCGGCTATTTTGGAGAAAAATTAAGAAATATATATTTTAATCTAATTTTTATCTTTTATGTAATATCCTGCTGTCTTTCTCAAGTTTCATTTACATTCATAATATCATATGATTAGACAAAATATAACATCATAATCTTTTCACTCGTGTTTATCAATTTTCAAAAATAGCTAGTCCGACTTCACGCCCCAGGGGCGTCTAGTTTTTTTAATTTTCAGATTTGCAACTATATTTCCCAATGACAGAACACACTTTTTTGACAACAAGAAAACAAATGACTTGATAAATGACATTGAGGGTGGAAATCTCAGCCTCCAAATCACGTTTTTCCTAATGATTTGTTTCCTGCAGAAAACGTCGTCAAATTCCCGCCAAAACTTTAGCGCGTGCCGACGCGTGCCGTCATCTCGACGAAAGCGACGCGAGCGTTCATATAAGCTTAAATAAGGGAAGAGATCTCTGCAAGAATCTCAGGAAGTTTACAGGCTATTAGTTCCTGCCCGTCTTTATTTTGGTAGTGTTAAACGAAAAAATTGAACAACACTGTATGTATATGGATGGCTTCGGTTGTGAACTTGGATTTTATAGAAAGAGAGGAGACGTTTTATGGTGGGATCTCCGACAACTGTGAGAGGTTCACCCAAACTTGTGAGTTGAACTACTTTTACATAACTTAAACTCAACATACAACCTGGAAGCATACATTTATTTTCTTTCTTTCTTTCTTTTTTTTTTTGTAAAAATGTTAACTAAGATTCATAAAATAAGCTTAAGTTTAATTTAAGTTAAGTAATATTTTTACAACTTTTTAGATGTTGGGGAGAAGAGTTTGAATAATCCAGAAAACGACCTGCTGGTTCCTGATAGTTCTGAACAAAAAACTTTAGACAATGAAAAGTCGACAAATCATGTCGAACGAGTAGAAAGTCAAATCTGTAGATCTTTCTATCTGTATGGTACAAAACAAACACTGAAGAATGGTGAGCATTTAAAATAAGCTAATGAAATATTTTTCAAGCTATAAATTAGCTTTCTTTGCAGACGTTTGATTAAAATGTCGTTTGCAAAAAASGAGAAAACAGGAAGTCAAGAGATCAGAGAAGAGCAGGAAGGATTGAGTCTGCGCATGTTTGAYATTT